TTACATTGCCTAGTATTCCCAAGCGGTCAACCATCCAGGTACTGACCAGGATCGACGTTGCTTAACTTCGATGATCATACGAGGAGCGGAGTTCAGCGGGTTATGGCCGTAAGACTTCTTATATGCTATAGTCTTCTGTTTCTCTTTAAATATACTTCAGAAATGGATTCACTGCAGTATTTTTTTTTGCAGCAAGCTATGACAATATACACATAAAAATAAGGAAAAGAATCTGTGGAGAGTCATGACCAACGATATCCAGAATGGCATTAAAAAAGTTTTAACGATCAGAAGTAACATATTTTGTTGCTAATAAGATGCATATTTTTTTCCTATAAAATTTCTTCAAAAAACTACATTCCGTCCTATAAATCGAGTGTCGGTAACGAGTGTTACAGATTTGGGCTATGGGCTGATCACCGGTTCCCCATTTATATCCAATTTTGAGCTCTTAAATGTAAAACAAGCCCAGAGTTTTCACAAATCAATTAAAAAAGTTTTGAAGTTACGATACTTTCTTTAATTTTGATATGATATTAAAGACCTCATGTAACAAGATGTCTATTTATGCATACTGTTTATACGAAATCCGAATGATTCACACGGTAATTCGTTAACGGTGCTATAGAAACACACCTCTCATAGCCAAAACCGTCTTTTCATCACGTGCTGAGTAGTGTCCCGTACGTGGCTGTACTTATAGTGTTATATGCTTGAACGAAACCTAATTTCGTGAGAACATCTGTTAAATTTTAACACCGTAAACTTAGCGCTTATGATAAACTTGTCAAGTTTCCAAGCTATAATGCAGATATAAGGATTCAGCAGTATCGTTCTCCATCCTGGTTTGTGATAATCGTCACGATTATTCTAGCTTTCAGGCTGCAATAAGGCTACGTTTCAGTGGTATTATGCACTTTAACTTTTCTTCTTAAGTATTACATTATAAAGAGTTACCATACATTTGGCACCTGTCTGGGTCTTTGAGGAATCTGTCAGGTTTTCATGCTGGAATATGCTATTCAGTGAGTAGAAGAGGAGATATTTGGTGGGGCAATGAAGTACAAGGAAAACATTTATCTTCCTTCAAAATTCTTTCCTGTGGTGATGGGGGCTTCTGACAAATTGCAACATTTATATGCACCAATATACCGTATTTTGTGGTTTATAATACGCTAAATACGATATATTGATATAAATTGAATCCGATAAATCAAAACGCAGGATTATCAGCGTCGTGCATTGGTAACGTGAATCAGTCACATACAATAATGTCTATTTTTTATACGCATTGCAGAACACAGGGTTGAAGACTATAGTGATCTTAATTAAAGTATGGTTTTTCATGTTGGATGAAAATAGTTTTAAAAATACAGCGTTTCCCCGGTCGATGGCTGTTTGGTTGATTTGTACCTTTTAAAACTCTTAATTCTATTAGGTTGGTGCAAAAGTAATGACGTAAGAATGTCGTTTTTTGACGTTAAAAAATACGTCAAAAACGACATTATTACGTCATTATTTTGCATAACCTAATACATTCAACACCATCACTTGATATATATATATATATATATATATATATATATATATATTTGTGATTGTGATTGTATGTAGATATGTATATATATATATATATATATATATATATATATATATATATATATATATTTGTGTGTGATTGTGTGTGTATGTAGATGTCTATATATATATATATATATATATATATATATATATATATATATATATATGTGTGTGTGTGTGTGTGTATCTATGAATATATATAGTATTCTTAAAAGAAACCTTTATTCTGCATTCAATACCATCACTTGATAAGACGCCAGAAGTGTTGAAACAAAATGGCTAATTTTTACATTATTTACATTATTCGGACTATTGTCATCATCTTTGTCGCCATATTTATCACAACGCCTCGGCCGCTGCACGCTCCGGCCTTCTTCAAATGGTTGGAATGTCGAACTGAACCCTTTATTTCGCTCACTGGGGTAGACTGTTCTAGTTGCACGTGCCATGTTTGATGGATGTCAGTTATCTCCTGCTAATTTCCCTCCCCAAGTTCTCCACTGCCTTAACCGGCTATTGAACTCACACTCTTTGGGTCCTGTTACTGGATCTAACAAACGCCTTTATCCACTGTGCCATGTGTTCTTGAGGACACATGGCACAAAGGGTTCAGTTCGACATTCCAACTACCTGAAGAAGGCCGGAGCGTGCAGCGGCCGGGGCTTTGGGATAAATAAGTCCGAATAATGTAAATAATGTACATAATACCTCATCTCAGAATTATAGACAGACTCTGGCTAATTTTTGTAGTGATTTTATAACATATTTATGTTATAATTTTCGAATATATATATATATATATATATATATATATATATATATAACAGACAACGAATGACTATTCGTGTAGTGGATTCAATAAAGACAAAACTGTCCAACATTTGGATATTTTTTATGCTGTTCCTCGATCTAAGCTTTCGGCTCACATAAGCCATCGCCAGAGTGGTTATATGGACATCACAACAGAGGTGTTCAACATCAAAGATGACATCCTGTCAGACATAATCCATTTCATAATATATGATGTCATTTGTTTACATTACGATACGCTTCAAGCAGATATGACTTTCAACAGAAATCATTGGAAATTTGTTGTTTAAAAAAAGGAATTTGATTATGCTAACCAGACGCTTCGTTTGTATTCAAATGATATAGCACGTAAGGCTATATGACGGTTCTGTGTAGGATATAGGTTCGATTCCTGTCGGTGGACAGATGTTTTCTATGAAGTTTCTCGGACATTCATGGCGGTAAATGTAGTTAATACTGTTTCTAATAAACAAAGCATTGTATCTATAAAAATAACGTATAAACAGAATACATTATATATATATATATATATATATATATATATATATATATATATATATATATATATATATATATATATATATATAAAAAAATATAGTTTTAAGATATGCTATTTTCGTGGGTTAACATGCAAAGTATCAGGGTTAGAGCGTATGTAAATATAAAAGTAGACATTAGGATCGGTTAACACCCAGCAGCGACAGTCTGTTTCACGTTTGAACGTAATCTTTAGGCCTAAAGTTTGCGTTTAAGCACGAAACGGACTGTAACCGCTGGGGGTTGACCAATCTCAATTTCCACTTTGATACATACACACGCATATGTATCTTATATATAAAGTACAGTGTATGTGTGTGTGTTTCTGTGTGTGTCCAAGCAATTCCTCCGCTGCCACTGATCCGATTTCAATGATTCATAGCTCATTCAAAAGCCCTAGGAAAGTTAGGCACAGGGAACGATTTTTGTTGAGCTCAGATCCAGGGTTGCCTGTTAATGCGAGGTTAAAATATATATATTAATATATTATCCAAACCATTATCGTTGCTTTCATGGTTCAAGGGGAGTAACGCTTATTTCCTTTTGTATCCAAATTTGCAGCTAGCTTAAAATTTTAAGGACAGAGACGCAACTGAGAGATGATAAATAATAAATAATGCGAAATCCCTCCAAGGAGGGATTTACGCGGTGTTTACTCATTCCCCCACGAGAATGAGATGTGACACAAGGTCGGATTAATGTGGGGACCCGAGCGCGTGCACCCGGGCAGGGACAAAAATTCCCCTCAGCCCCCGCACCGATCCCTCCCTCTGGTGCAATGGGAGGGTGCGGCCTCGGGCAGCTGTTCCCCAGGGCTGGGCACCTCTTCAGTATCATTTTCCTCAGTTGCCCCTCTGTCCTCAGACCGAGAAGCCCCTGAGCGCACTGTGTCCAAGGACAGAGATGCAACTGAGAGATGATAAATAAGGCGCTAAAAGCTCAATCTGTTTTATATAATACCTACTTCTAGGCAATATTACTCTTCAGGTTTAACTAATTTGCATATTGATTATTAAAAAAAATGTTTATTTCATTAATTAACTGTCCTTCCTTACTGTTCTTTTATTCGAAGATTGTTTTGATTTTCATATAAGAATTGTTCTGTTTAGGACTATAGTCTCTGTATAGTGCCGAAATGGTTTGAAATTTGCATTTTACTTGGTCTTCAACGGGTTGTCATCTGTTTGTAAAATTTTCCTTAACTATAACAAGCCAATTTATGAATGAAAAGTTCATTTAAAATTTTTGTTTCAAAGATTTCGAGTAATGAATATTTCTTACTTTGCGAGAGGGCGAAGCGTACTAGTATATACGTGTGTGTGTGCTTTGTGTACGTAATAGATAGACAGATATGAACAGACAGAAATTAGAGAGATACATAGATATGATCAGATAGATAGATAGATCTATAGATTCCATATTTTGAAAATTACAAAACCATATTAGATAGATTCGCCTATTCTCCAGTTCATACTCCATTTCTGTCTTTTGAACAGCGGTAGACATTTATCCCTTGTTTTCTGTTTCCGGTTCCTTCTAAAAACCTTTTTAAATTCACTCCCAAATAGCCCCCCCTTGCATCTTAGTGGCATTATCGCCTTGCTTGGGCGTAACTGATTAAGAAGAAGGATTTACTTATCCGTTTTTAACAATTTCAAATTTGAAACCCAGGTCGAAAAATAGCCAAGTGCATCAAAATTTTCTCGACAGAGAGAAAGAAATGTCTAATTGAGACCTAATCGCTGTGGGCCATCGCTGACAAATTTCATCCATGATTTTAGCCCTTAGAAGGACGACGATTGCTCTTGAAACCAGTAAGTGACTTGCAATAATTATTGCAGACGCGGCAAACAAAGTTGTTTTGTACAGGGTCTGGCCTGTTTTGTAAATTCTGTTCTGGTTGCTCGTGAGTTTTTCATGATACGGTTGAAACCAGAACCGTTTCTGTATTATTTATGGTACACCACGTCTGTTAAATTATTCTCATAACAGTATTGTTCGTAATTTGTCAAATATTTATAAGTATGACTCTTCATGTGGTTAAGAAACTAAACCTACATTAGAGAGACGTACTCTACCATTCATCACATGTAAATTGATGGATTACTGCATCATGGATTTCACCATTCCTACCTATACGCTTTACATTGAACCAACTCATTGAATGTTCGTGAAAAATCTCAG